AAATTGGCAAAGTAGTCAATTACTTCGTCATAAAATCGGGGGTTGCCTGTCACTTCTTTTATATACTCTTTTTCAATTGAAAGAAGAGATATATTACCTAATCTATTTTGAGTCATCGAATTTCTACTAAAGGATTTGATTTTTTTCAATGCTGAAAAATTTCTCTCAACTGACGCTGATATTATGGGAATTGTCACAATTATAGATATAAGTTTATATAACTCAGGCATGCAATCTCTCAAATCATTTTTAAACATAAAATTCAATAAATCTGAAGGAAACTTGCAATTCTGAAACATTTAAGGTTCGCTGTACATTACGATTAATTCATTTTTCAGTTGAATAACATGGAAAAATGGATACTGAGCTATTGAGTCGTTATAAAGTTTTTGGGGAAAATCTTTGGTATAGGACGAAAATTTTTCAAACAACAACAAATCAAAGTAGTTTCATTTAAGTAAATCTTGAAATCTAACTTTGATTTGCATCAAAAAGGTGTCCAATATTTCATTATAAATCTGTTTATAATTTTGTCTCAAATCGAGTAAGTCTAAATTGGTTTTTCTTTCTTTCGGCACCGGCGGTTCAAGAGTTAAATCAATTGATTCGAAAATATTATTAAAAAAAGTATCGTTATTTCTAAAATTCATAATTTAATATATGTTGATTTATTTTGAAGAATAGAAAAAACAACATCGGTATGTTCAATGTTCAAATATTAATTTAAATATTCCTAACATGAAACAAAACTTGTGATCATTTAAAATATATTTGAAACCTCTCGCCTTCCTAAGACTTTGGTCGTCGGTTTTAAAATCGTCACTGTTTAGGATAAAATAAAAGACATCAATCAATTTGTCTTTGTTTAATGCACTGAAATTACTGCTCTAGATGTAGATTTCCAACGCGTAGCGGCAAAAGTTGGCATTCGGCTACCACAAATTTCATTTAAAACATGGCTTCTCTTGGTGGATTTTGAAAAGATTTCCGAAAATCCAGACAAACTTGAAAAAAATACTCGGTAATATTTTATGTTGTTGCACGCTTTGCTTAATACTAAATTTAGGTCATGGGCATGACAATGCGTAAAAAGTGCATGAGGAGGAGCTGTGGACTTTATTTCAGTTTGTAAACCATTTAAATGGCCGGTCATGACCGCAGCCCCATCATAAACTTTTGCCTAAAATTATAGGTGTCACACGTACGAATTAAAAAATTAAACAAATCGTCAGCTGTGCGCCCAGATGAAACACATGAAAACCCATAAAACGTTCTACCACATTACCATCTTTGACATATCTAAAAACGATTGAAAGTTGTGATGTACAGGTGATATCGGTAGTTTCATCAATTTTCCATGCAAAAAAAGGAACACTTTCAATCTCCTTGCTTATATTTTCCTTAATAATATATGCCACACTGTTTATAAGCTCATTTTGGATGGTTTTTGAGGTGCCCGAAAAAAACGCTACCGTTTAACAAAGTGCCAAATTGTGAATCATATTTGCCCCATAACATTGAAAGTTCCTTGTAATTGCCGCGATTAATCGAATCTTCGGTTTCATCGTGTCCGCGAAAAGCTAATTCTTGGGAACCCAAATGAATCGTAATATCGATAAGTCTTTTTAAATTCGACCGATTTTTGCTAACTTGATTATTAAAAGAAATTATGGCCTCTTTTTGAGCTGTGTCTCAAACTGTTGCTATATTTTTTTTGCTGAACAATTTTAATTTACATTTAAATATATGATCCTTAAATTTAAAATGTCTTTCTGTAGAACGAGGTAAATTATTTAAATCGGAGTATCCTATTTTAGACCACGTTTGGCATTCGGTTTGTACGGAAAATGAAACACAGGGCCAACAAAAAAGTTTTTCTCGTTTAATGGAGCCGTTTAACCAATCGCATATATCGTACCAACTAATATTAAATCCTCGATTTTGTCGATTATCTGACGCTTTGATTGAAATCAAATTTGGTTAAGGCCTTCCAAGAGTTTTAATAATGTAAAATTTATTATCATAAGATGAAGACTTAAAATTATTTGTCAGCAACCAATAGACTATATCGTCAGATTTTTAATTTCGTCCAACTTATTCATAATAAATGGAAAAAAAAACATACCGAAAAGTGAAAACCTGAAAACACCTTGAAATTGAAAGAAAACACTTTAAAAACACATTCAAAATATTACCAAAAAGCACTGCTAAGTATAATACAATACTGCCTGTTTCATACACAAATATTATCATACACAAATTTTTCATACTGGTCCGGTACGGCATTCCGTCCGAACAATTACAAACGCAGTCGTAATTGTTCTGCAACTAAAATCACAAATCGGGACGTATGTCGCTGGCTGGTTCGGTCTCGCGGAGCTTATGTTTTTTTAAGCGGTCGGAGGCTTGGCTCCCTCACAACGTATGGCATTTATTATTTCGGGTTGATGGTTTCTTCGTTAATCGTTCGTGGACGGTGCGGTTTGTTTATGCAGCATACAGTGTGGTACGTACTACGTAGTGAGTGATAGTGTTTTTTCGGGCATATTATGTATTTATATTAAAAATTAATGGTAAAGTGATGATACCCAAGCATTTTCAGAAAAAAATAATCATTATTATTTGTCAATATCTTTTAATTTATTGCGATGAATATCTTCGAATGTTATGGTGAGGCTAAGCCTCTCTTGCCTCCTCTGACGAGCTGCCGCTGGAGTTAACACAAAAACAATTTATCTCGTTCAGCTTGTACTCCAAACATTCGTTATGGAATTGAAACAGATATCATGCATAAGAATGCTACACAACGTGATATATGAAAGAGTATTGAGATACAAACTATCCGATGTTTTTTGGCTTACTAGTTATGGTCCCGGAAATTTGTTAGGTACCGGTCGTGAAAACATGCACACCGTGAGTATTGATATAGTATTAAACTCAGATGGAAATCTATCACCCCTGTAGATGTATGATATGGTTGCGTTCCTAAACTTTTTCCGACGAGGTAGCAGAGTTTGATAACCTGATTAGAAAACACTGATATGTGATACTTTGAGAAGCTTATGACATCATGAACGATTTGGAGTAAGATCGTCATACACTGAGTGAGTCTAGAGACGCACTGTAGAAGTTTCGAGCGGAAAAAACACCTTTTTGGCTAACTTTTAAAACGGAACATCAATTTCCTGCATAATATTACATCAGTTATCAATCCATGTCTCGGGAGTTTTTTATAATCTCTTTTAATTTGCTATTACTCTTTTTTTCTTTCATTTTCCTCATGGTCTCAATTATCAAGACAACCCGGCCCCCCGTATGTACCTTACCCGAACTATTTTTAAAGCCGTATCTCTGTTTTTCAGAATCAATGCTCGCATTGCAGCAGATGTAATGATTCTTTAGATTGTTATATAATAGACAGCTCTGGATATATAATCGTTTCCGAAAACGAGTGGGACACTGGTAGGTTTTTTGGAGAAATAGAAGGAGATATTTTCGAATCCATGGTGGTTGAAGATATTTACAGAAACGTAACCCTGTATGACTACCAAGCTCTCTGCAAAAGAGATACGGAAAACAGCAGTTCAAGTTCGCCAGATTTATTGATTACGGTGAGTTTCAGTTATTAATTTATAGGAAGAATAATGCGACTGACATGAACGACAAAATAATATTCAGTGAACATGGAGAAAATCGATATATTTTACTCTTGCGAAAACTTGTTAATTCGCACACTTTCTCCGAGGGAGTAATCTTAACTATTTAAGGGATTATATAAAAAAACTGTTGATGATTGAGCGATCTCAGGTAAAAATACTGTACTGTGATGAGATCACATAACTCGTCACTCCAGAGTTTCAATCAATTTCCGTATTAAAATTCACACTATTTTTCAACCGTATTCATTTGGAGCATAGGATAAAATAACTTTTGTCTGATTTCTACTAAGATTTGTATTTGTTACGATCGGTTTCGGTTTCTTAAACCATTTTCAAGAAAACTGATGCATTTTGACAAACAAATCCAATAAAAATCTTATAATCAATATAAGTTTCTACAAAATAAATAGGTCATCAATCGAACAAGTTATTTGGAGCACATTGTTTATTTCTGAGTGAGCTACTCTTTGTGTATTTATCATTAGTGTCAGCTATCATGTTAATTTTTCACTTCAATTTTACTTCAACATTAAAAAACTAAATAGAATTTGATTACCATTATAACAAATTAAATATAAGTTGTGTTTTGTTAGCACCCAGATTGAGTAATTGCCACCAAAAGTTATTTGTCATTTCTGTTTGATGTATAAGCACAGCTATGCTTATTCGAATTTCACAAAATTTTTGCATATAACATTTTCTCCACAAATACCGCAAGGAAATCAAATATTTGAACTTTTTCACGAACAAAACGTGTAGTGTTCGTAAAATTTTTACAAATCGTAGAACACAGGATGGTTATTGGGATATTATGGAAATAAATTTTTTTTGGGTGTCATCGGCATCGACTGCATTGGTCATTAGCCTCGTGTCCTGGGTTAGCAATGTTAATAACTCCCCGAGCCACCTAGGAAGCATCATGGCTATTCGCAGTTCGTCAGCCATGTAACGTTGCAGAATCATTCCAGCTTCAAATAGATAAATTCTCTCGAAAAAAATATCTGGTCGAGGTTGGAATATTATGAGAATATTATGAGTTCTTTGGACGAAACATATCTATAAACATCAATTGCATATGACAATTGACACGTATGACATATACCAATTCAGAGAAAATATATAGAAGAAGAAATGAATGCAATGAAATTACTTTCAAAGAGCAAATGAAACTCTCCATAAGTATTCATAGGCGTTGCTTCCACATAAAAGCATCTGACCACTAATGAAATTGAAAAATGGTCAACAACACAAAGATCATATACATTGATAATAAATACAAAGAATATATGCTCCAAACGACATCCGTATCCGATATGGTCTATTATACTTTACCCATTACCTCAGGGCTAGTACTAAAGTGCTACCAAGATTTAGCCAAATACTCGGTACATAATAACATTATCCTGAGGTGGATTGAAGGACACGACAGGAGTAAAGGTAATCGCATTGCCGACTTTCTACCCAAGGAAGCGGCTGGACTAAGAATTTTAGGATCCAGTGGCACCTACGGCCTGATGACTTTGACAATTGCGGAACTAGCCAAACGTCACACCCATGCTCAATTCCGAAAGAGATGGGATGAAATCAAAGAATGCAATCTAGCCAGGATCACCCTTGACGACCATGGGAAGCTGGCGCCAAAGAAATATCTGGCGATGATCAGGAAAAATATACGCTTAACAGTAGGATTTCTGACTGGCCACTGTCAATTAAGGAAACACCTCCACAATATGAGGCTAGTGCACACACTCTATGCAGGAAAATGAAACTGTCAGACATGTTGTATGCGAATGTCCGGAGTTATCGTTAATAGTAGAATGTGTGTTCGGTGAGTCTTGGCCTACAGCTGCCTATTTAAAGGAGATGTCTCCCAGAGACCTGTCTACCTTCCTGGAAAGGACAGGATTAACGATGACCTAGGAGGACAACTCCTTGGGAGGATGTACAATGGGTCACATGTGACTTAAGAGCTGTGGGCCTATACTCACCCCCCTTCTCTACAGATACAGATACTCCACCCATCTATTTCTGATTGACTTAGTTTATATTTTTGTTGAATATGGTGAAATTGAATAGTTTATTTCAGCCTATGAGAAACATCCAAACGTTTGTGAACTGGATATTAACGAAAATGCTTTACTTCATACTTGAAATGAGTTTCTATAAACTTCACGAGACAGTGACCTATGCCCAGGACTTTATGCAGAACAATACTGGTAAGAAATGTTCTTCAATGTAAATATTTTCGTATACTGAGTCATAATTTTTAGATGATATTGATGTCGGAGAAGCTGAGGAATCGGTCCAGTTCAATAACTCGGCTGATAACTATTACGCATGTGAAACACAGTTAAATCTATTCGTACTGAGGCAGGATATTTTTATTGAAGGATCCTTCAATGGTGAAGTTGATTATAAACGGTAACCGACTTACATAATCTACTGAAATCCTCGAAAAAACTAATGCTCTTGCGACAGAAAAAACATTATTACTAACTTTTTTCTGGTTTTCACTTTTATCACTACAACGTACTTTGATATTTAAAAATCAATTTACTTGTTTTTTATTTATTATCTGTTGACAGGCATATACATAATGTTTTATTTTGCTCAACGAAACACGTTGTAACATCATCTCCAGAAGTTAGGCTGCTGCTTAGCTGAAATTTTACTAAGTAGAAGCTTAGTATACGGATCTTGACCTTCATAGATAATAACTTCCTTCCTACACTCCAGTAGTACAGCTTCTTCTTTCACTATATGCTTAGAACATCTGACTATTTTGTGATATTTTATGTTTTCAAAAGCTCTAGTATTAGAAATGGAAGAAAATCATTCACCAAACTATCACCCAATCAGAGTTGGATAAAATCGCCAGTCTCAATAATTGAATTCAGAAGTAACAATTCACGCGAAAAAATTAAGTGGATTCATGAATTGGAAATTCATTCGAATAAAAAATTGAGTCACAAGCTACTTTGTAAATTATTGCTTTATTCAATTAACAATGAATTTTACGTATTTCTCAGAAAAAAATATTATTCGGTTATCTTGCCAGATTGATAATATTTATTTCTTGGGAACGAAAGGTGTTTACCACTTTTTCATCTTGATACAAAAATGTGGGAATCTTCCAAAAAACGGAAGGAAGCAATCAATTTGGAAAATTACCTCACAAAAAAGTGTAGATCAAATCCATTTTGTGAAAATTCAAATACGTAATGAGTTAACAAACTCTTTGTTTTTTGAAAAAATGAAATATCGATGTAAAATATGACATTTTTGAATATTCATTTATTTTCTTCTGAAGCTTTTCTAATCACTAGTCAATGTTACCATCCATGAAGCTTGAGTGATATTTTACTGCTATTCGTTGCTGACAAACTGTTCTCGATATGAAATACGGATTACACTTTTGGGTATAAGATTGAGAATTTATTTTTTTGTCAGGTACGTACTGTATTTTTCGAAATTGAAATTGATTTCATTCAGACAGATACCAAAATGGCCTTTGAATCCAAAATGGATATTTTGATTACTTTTCTTCTTTTTTTTTTGAGGGAGAGAGAATCCAAAAAATGGACAAACAGTGTTAATAAATTATAAACATTTAACTAGATAATACATAACATTACAATGAACAGTTCAAAAATAACTTTACAAAACGCTCAAAGGTGCGAACTCGTTTCCTCCTTTTCATAAAAGAGGATGTATGCATCTCCACTCACAAGCGATTTTGGTGAAATTGGTGACACTTGTGAATCATTGTATTCGGTTCACGTGCCATTAAAAAGATGTCTGCAGAATGCTGTATAATGTCCGGTGTAGGTAGACCCACTGTGATTCGAAAGTGCATATAGATTATAGCGACAAGGAGTCACATTATCTGCTGCATAATTGTTCATATCTAATCCATCTAGAGGAAATTCGATGGCAACATTTACCTTGCCTCTAAATCTTTCTGTTAGAAAAAATCTTTTAAAATGAATAACTAAAATATAGGGAAACTTATGGATCGATAGAGACTGTGCATTTCCTTCTTTCTTTGCAACTTGAACACATCGGTTTTTCATGTCCTTGTGAAAAAATCCAAGCACTGTGATAAACTCAATTGGTTAGTTATTTCTGGTATGGGGAGTGACAAATCCCAGAAAGGATCGAAGGTTACAGGTGAGTGTCCACAATGTGTGGACGAAATTATCTACAATCTTAGAGTTATATGTACTCAAATAAATCAGCCATGACTTTTGTGCTTTTTCGTTGTTTCTCAAGTTTTCGTCAATCTCCGTTAAGGTCGGTTTAGGTTTCTCAATAGTTCTATTAACGTCATCATGTAAACCTTCTAAAAGATAACGAAGGACTCCTGGGCGTCTTGATGCGGATGACCCATGAATCGAGGGACAAAACTCTGAATCTGACTTTTTAAGGAGACTGTGTTCACTACTCTATCAGATGAATTTTCTGACCACAATTCCGTGATAACTTCTGCAAAAGCTTTGATTATAGAACCCTCCGAACTAGAAATATCAATATTGATATCTTTCATGTACTCATCTTTTTTCAAATATTCCAGTAGCCATCTCGTATTGGATATACATTGGATCACACTGTTCATGAAACAGGTGTTGCCAATATTTTTCAACCCATTAAGCCCAAAGGTTTTGACTGAGGAACGTATCACTGATCTAATTGTGTTGTAGCTGTTGGTGATACGTTCGCCACCGCTGTTTTCTTTCCAGTAATCACGGATGCAATGATTCTTCCCATCATTAGACCAACGGAATGAGGAATTTGAAGGTAAATTTCTTGAAACTGAATCAGATATATTCATGGTGGTTTTTCAAATTTGGGAGAGGAAGATAATTCCAGAACTTGTTTATTTTCCTCTGCATCTTCTGAGACAATTGGGAAGTCATCAATCTGCTTACTCCATTTGGCGATGTTCATATGAAATTCTGATTTGATTTGTGGGTTCAGAAATATTTCATCTAATTTTTGAGTAGAAGGAAGAGTACCCAATATTGATGTGGCATTACCCCTTTGGATGGCGATACTGATTCTTTGAATTAAAAATGAATAGGCTCGGTTGTCACTGGTAGAATTCATCATTCTTCTACCAATTTCTTTCATCAATTCAGAAGCATGAAATCCAAAAACACCAAAGGTTTCAATAGCAACAGGAAAGAAACAGTAAGAATTCAGCAAAGTGGAGTATTCTGCAATCATAGCAGCTGCACCAGTGGAATAAGACGTAGCGGCAAGATGTGAAGCTGCAACTGTATCCACGCAGCTGAAGTCCCAAACCAGAGGCTTTTCAAATTTTCTAGGAATTAGAAATATGTAATTAGAATTAGAATATGTAAATAATTACATATTTTTCAGGATGATCTATTGTCAAAAGTGGAGAAAACTCAATAGCTCTTGATGTATTTCAAATGTTGCAAATAAAATTTTCTTCGAGTTCAATATCATTTACATTTCAAATGTATTATTCCTTCAAGAAGAATTCATCTATCGGGATGGGTGGTATGCCAGGTTTATATTTTTGAAATAGTAAAATGTTCGAAATGTTGAAAATTGATGAGTTTGATTCAATTTAATTTTTTTTTATGGAATGCAAATAAAAGCTTAATTTTGAAAATATTTTCAGTAATTAATCATTTACTATTTCCTAGTTATCGCTGAACACGTTGCTGAGTCTGTTCATTTCAATTAATGTGTCCTTGTTGTACAGTTAGCCCCTACAACATTTGCCAAGTTATAACTCATTATAATTGGTATGGTGGCCATATTGTTTTACTCTATTTCAATTTTTCTCTCTTTATTTTTTTGTTATTTGATCCTATTCATATCATGAAGGAGAATAAAAACCAAGTCCACCATCTTATTTGGGAGTCCACCATATTGTTCTGAGTATACCCTTTCATCTGATACCTATATCATGGGGATGCATGAAAAATAACTAGTCTGCTATCTTGGACCTAATTTTTTTTGTATCTTCTAGGGCAAATATCATCATTTAAGTATCATGGAAGTGCATAAAAATTCATAATCGTCATTTTAGTCGGTCCGTCATATTGAAGGTCACTTGGTCAATCATGCATTGTCTGCAAAACGTGTCTGCAAAATTTCAGCTCAGGAAAAAATATATAAGTAGTTTTGGCGATACTTCAGAATATACATTTTAGGCCTTCTTAACCCTGCTGCGAAGGGGCTGTTATCACCAAACAATCATAAAATTTGTATTAGTAAGACTCATCGACACATAGGTACAATAATAATCAGGAATAAATCTTTATCTACATAATATATACTCGAAATTTTGAAACAAATTTCCATTTGCAGTAACTGCTTGATGAAAGGAGTTCGGTTGTATTGTATTTCACGGCCAAAATTTGGACTCATTGGATATGAGGATGGTTTGACGTTCATCATCAGTTAATGTATCAGTTTTCACCTTCAATCTAGTTGCATATATGTCAAATTAAAAAAAATTACGGTAACTTCATTGTTTAATGGTGACAATACATTTCCAGGAACTACTATGTGAAGAGAATTCCGAACAGTAATTTGATATTTGTTGCCATCAACAATACACTGATCGAGGAAAATAAGCGCATAATTTCGACAGACCCTGTAGCAATCACGCTGGAACCAGAATTTGAGTATTGGAGTATAAATACGACGCTACTACCTTGCCAGAAGTTGAATTTGAATAACTTATCGAGAAGAAGACTTACCGGCTGTTACAACGAACATCCCTTGGTAATAAATCATACTGTTTTTAGATTTTGAACTGGGATATTTTATTGTTTCTTTTACAGGAGCATGAAATTATCGACTGTGGGCGAGCTTCTCTTCTGAGAGAGAATTTGATTCTAGTCTTTCTAACAATGATTTTTGTATTACGAAATTGAAAAAATAACGATTAGAAATACATGATTTCAATAGAACTATCAATGTTAATTTTTTGCTTTAGTATCTACGGCATTGTCGGGCCATCATGGATATTCGAGACCCGTCCACCATTTCGCATAATCAACATAATCAATCGAGCAAAAGTTGAAAGTGTTGAAGCGATGTCCAGAAAGCACGGACAAAACGACACATAGTTTTGTTTTATTATTATAAACCTTCAACTGAAGCAGTCACAGTTAGTTATTATTATCAATAATCATGTTTGGTTGAGGTCTACAGATACATTACCTTAATCACCTTACTATTATTTAAGAACTATAAAACAAAAATAACAAACAATAGTCTCAACCTCTATTATATTACAGAGTCTATGATATGGACAAAATGACATATGAAGTAAAGACATAATGACGGTAGGGTGCTGATGAAGCTTTTAAATCTCCCAATACTAAACCTTGACCTTGAATGACGTCACACGACCTTGAGATATGTGCACGTCATATGACCTTGAATGATAAATTGTCGATATATTTTCCATATTACAATTTTCACTGTTCGCACTATATCGATCTTGTCAATCGAAACTGTGGGATATTAATGCCGTTATATTGGGGTGTTGGTATGTAGGTATGTACGAGTATGAGGACAGACAATAGTAAAAGGCTTATTATTCAAACCCTTTCAGACTGGTTGTATATTGTTTGTTAAGGGTTGTCAAAGGAATAATATGCGTTTGGATATGATCTCTTATCATTTTATCTCTATATTTAATTTGAAAACAATTTTTCAATAATTGGGTGAAAAGATATAATACAGTTCTCCGGGATGAAGTTAATACTAATAGTAAGACAACAATTTTCATTCATAGCACGTCATTAAAATTATTCCTTTTGAGTAATTTATCACTTCACATCTTGGAAATGAACAATACATTTTCGCAAGAAAAATATCAGATTGAGGTAGGATTCGAATTCATGACCTCTGGTTCTAGCCCGGACAAATGACCACTGCCCCAATTCACCCCCATCAACAGACTATATGTGAGGTTAGGATGATTCTTGCATGGGATATTCATTTTCAAATTTATTATTATTTAGTTCTTATAGGAAACCAACTTTGAAATAAAAAATCGCGGCCCAACAAATTTCCTCATCATAATGACGTATAATAGCAAATGCATTTATTCTCTTATCTTTCGGTCCCACAACAAATGACATCAACTATTGATTTTCAAATGAGACAACTTGTATGTCATAACATTTTTGAAATCTATATGATTTTTTGGATACAATATCTCATAGTCGATATTTGAATAAGGAATTGGAACACATGGTTATGTCAGGTGGCGTGAAAGATTGCCCGACTCAACCTCTCGCGGATTATCGAGAAAGTTGATATGAAACAAAAAACAATTTTTGGCATTTCGATAAACTGTTATTATTAGTTACTTACTGAAAACCTCGTGGAGATTATATTGATGAAACAAATAAATTGTCACATGTTCATAACAGAAACGAGAAAGTATATAGGCAGCTAATTTATAGAGAATTTTGGCGAATTGGAGTTACTGATCACCGGTAGTATTCAGAACAATATCTTAAGCTTATGGTACACCTCCCGTTAATTTATTTCTTCAGCATTTTTCCCAAATTTGAAACAATGAATATGCTCGTGAAGAGGCGCGTTTTAACGTATTGGAAGATTCATTTCAACTTCCGACTTTTTCGGAAAACTAATCAACGTTTGATTTCCGAATGAATCACCCTGTATATTATTGCATTATGGAAATCTTCATAATTTTCCAAATCCATTGTTACCCCATAGTTGATATTTCAGGTAGCAAGACGCTCGGTTCATTTTTCCATTTAGATGGTCATGAAGAACAGTGAAAAAATTAATATTATTTCATTGTATGGAATTAAACAGGTATTTTCTCATATTGTTATTCATAACAACACAAAATGTTTTTTAAAATACATAAATAATTCTTAACAGCTGTTCTAATTGTAGACCGACAACATCCAGGCATGTTCAAACTCGTTTCGCGATATTTTCAATGGCATTGGTTAATTGTTGAGCCATTAAACTCTGAAAGGCTTGTCTTATTCGTATTTCTAAGTTCTCGCGGGTTGTTAAAAAAGTTACATAGACAATGGTTTTCAAATCATCCCAAATTCAGAGGGGTGAATGTATGTAGATTTCAAAAATATAATAACATATAGGGTATTTCGTTTGAAAATCGAACATTAATGTCATTTTCAGAAAAACCGGAAGTGGAAAGACATTAAAAGTAGCTGAAAAAGAAAAAAGAATAATATACCACTGGGTACCCGCTTACCCGGTATATTTGAATTCGTAACAATTCATGAGGGAAAAATGTTGTACCAAATACCTTGATCACTTACGCCACACCGTGGTGAAAGTGATCATTGGATCCGAGAATCATGTGCCCCGAGCAATCGCAGTGGGACAGGACTGACAGCCTTCTGCATTTGTCCGACAAAGATTTCTGCCTGAGTGCGGCAAGCCGGCATGATATCGATATTCGAGAGTAGAGAGGGCATCATTCTACAAAGGACTCCGATAATCGAAGAGAAAATCTCGATATTTCATCCGTTTTTTCTCCTCTTCTCGAACGATATCCATCTCGTTAAAAACCGAAATCTTGACAAATATCGTGTTGTTCTTATGGTCGACAGAGACTACAACAGGCTTTTTAGCTTATATAAGCCTGAGGGTGGGGAACGAATAGTTCCGAAATTTGGCACTTCTCTTTCCCCGCGATGGATTCAATATTCCTCAATCCGTAGGGTAACACTTGTGTCGCGTCATTACCCTAAAAGTACCGTAGGTGGTAATGAAACACTCTTAGGGTCATATTATGTCGATGATTATAGGCTGAGACCGCATATGTTGACATGCTAATAGTAAGTGACCCCATGCATTGGCTTATCCTTGAATTGCCGCAGGAGTGAAATGAGCTTTATGGCTTTCATATGAGCCTTCAGCTGGACGAGTTCCAACTCGGTGACAGAGTTGTAATCACCTCGTTCGGTGCCGACAACTAAACCGGGTTCACCAGCTACTCGTGCAGATACCCTGAAGATAAATGATCCAATTTCTGCTCTCTCATGATCGCGGACCATTCAGAGAAGGAATTTCGAACTCCTGGCGACTTTACAAGCTCCATCCAGTACTATTCTGGCCATAGCCTTCCTGTTGTCGGGGAAAGTACAACCGTGGAACAAACGATTTGAGATGCGAACAAACTCCTAAAGAAGTGAATCATTTCTCGGGTATTTACGTTAAATTGATACAGCTCTTCCCAATTCCACTTCACTGTAGCAAATGAGTAGAGAAAGATTGGAACGGCTAGCATTTCCGTTGCAACAACTTTGTTCTTCGTCGACAGTTCTGATGACCATATCTGTCTAAGAGTATATGCTGATACTTGATACTTCTGTTTCTTCTTGTCAGTGGCGTTGCCCCCCCTCCGAAAAAAGAATACGTCTCTCTGGCATCTAGATGGCGCTTCCATCTACGAGCTGCACATCCTCTCCGTAGTTCCCGCATCGTCCTTTTTGAGATGGAGCCTTGCAAATTTGTCAATCCCGAGTTTCATACCGATAGTATGCGTATACTCTCTCACCATGACCCTCAAAGACTGATGGAGATCTTTTTCTCCAGAGAAATCAAGTTTAAGATTATCCATATTAATCAAATGGGTGACCTTATGCCTTTGGTTTCCGAGAGTGTCATAGTTATATCTTCGAGTATTTCTGAGCGCAACGGATAATGGCAATAGTAAGATGCAGAAGAGAAAGGGACTGAGGACCCTATTTGGAATCTAGCCTGACCTGTAATGGTCAAGCGAGTCCGCCAGAGTGGTATCAGTTGTTTAAGGCATCTCACTATATTTTTAGGTGCCGCAAGGCATCTGAGCGAACGCAAGATGAGCTCATGCGATATTCTATTGAATTCCTTGTGGTAATTGATCCAGGACATAGTGAGGTTATGCTTGTACTGTATCGAGTCTTGCGTTACACATTTATCGATAAGCAGGTTCTCTCTACATCCAGCGACTCCTCTCTTCGACCCTCTATGCTCATATATCCGTTCGAACATTTGGTTAATTGCGGTGAGTATTCGTGTGTCTTAGGTACTCGTAAACAATTTGAAACACGAGTTTGAGCATGTTATCAGTCTATATTTCTCAAGAATCGACAAATATCTCTTTTTAGAGATGAGGATGGTCCACCCCTCGACAAAACAATCCAGATCGGCAACTCCCCGTCCAGCCATGAGTTGAAAACTCTGGTCTGATAGCGGTGGGTGCCTGGTAGTTTTTTTCACCAATTAGTGTTCAGGCCATCTGTGCCTGGAGCAGCTAAGTTCTTGGATTCTATAACGGTTCTTCGCGAACGTCTTCCGGGTTATCGGGTTGCGCAGTTCATTGAGCTCAGGCTGTCGAAGCTCTCTGCTGGAAGCTTCGAACTGCGCTAGGGCTGGTATGTAAAGTTGGGTGGCTGTGAATGTTGAGAGATGTCCTTTCAGAAAGATTCTACCTGATGAGTGGTCGGCAACTTATCCATAACACGCGGAGGCACTTGGAATAAGAGGGATATTTTTTCGCGGAATCTGAGGTTTTTCGTAATATTTCTCGCTCGCCTCACTAGTGGCTTCTCAGCAGGCACCAGCATTCGTATCCTATAAAAGCGTATCCAAAGTTTGCGGTGGTCAGGCCCTATCCCCCGAAGCCCCGATACATTCGGGAAGGCGCGCCAGCATAATCAATCAACGACCAATCTCCACATCGTGGGGTAAGTAATAATTGGGTCCGAGAATCATGTGCCCTGAGTAAGCGCAATGAGCCAAGAATGACAGCCTTCTGAATCGATGCGGCTAAGATTTCTGCCTTAGTGCGGCGAGCCGGTATGATGTTGATATTTTTTTTCTCCTCTTTTCGGAATTTGTCTGCCAGGAGCTGAAAACTTCACGACAAATATCGCCTTGCTCTGGTGATCGAGAAGGACAAC